ACGATATGACAGTGCGCATCAAAAACATAACCTCAAAAATAATCTGTGCACTGTACTCACTCACAGCGCTTCGGACCGCCGGGCGGTTGCCGCATTCCACGCATATTTTTCCCGCCAGACAGTCCGCGAAACCGGTCCGGCCGAGCCTACATTGCGTCTCGTTGTGTCAAATCAAACTTATAACAATAAACATTGCGTGTTTGAAACTAACTTTCACTAAAATAACGAAACAGAAACCAGTAATGGATAGTATTTAAACGATATTGTCGTGAATTTTTTCATCCAAAGAGTAACTTGGTAAAAGTTTTAAGGAATGCTCCAAGGATCGAAGGCAGTATACTTGTACCGAATTTTTTTCCATTGGCATTTCGCGCGATATAGTTGGTGTATAAATGTGGTTTGTTACGCAAGCGTGTTGTAACATTGGTAATAAATTAAATTAAATGTACCTGCTTTAAGGAATGGCGGTAAATTTTTAAAAAGACAGGCTGTTGTTTTGTTTATTTTGATGTTTTAGTCAGTATTATGATATTGTTTTTACATGTAACTTAAGAGTTAGCGATATTTGACGTGTAGACAAACGTAGATCTAATCTAAGATAATAAAATGAACAAGGGTTTGCGGACGGCGAGCACGGGTAGCTCGCCGCCCCACCAGAGCCAGACCCGAGCGTACGGCGCGTCGCGTTCCGCGCTCCTCAAAGAGATATTAGACCACCATGGATGGGGCCCAATATTGCTAATGCCGATACGGAGCCGCGGAGAACGTAAAAAGTTAGGTACCTGAGCTCCGGCTCGAAGTGCAGGAGTAGCAACGGGGTGGTTTTAGTCAGTAAGAGTCTGACACTCCCTCCCGCCTCACCAAGACGAGCACGTGAGAAGTTATTCGATGATTTACCCCTTTAAAAAGCTAATATTATTGCAATGGTAGGCGTAAAAAGCAAAGAAATTGAATGCATCAACATTTTTTGAATGAAGGAAAAAATAAAATAATTTATAATTTTCGGTTAAGTTCCCCATTTAAACTGTCAAATACCAAGCGGTCACCGGTGACCGCAACCTATTGTTCTATAATTGTGTCTGTAAAACCGGTACTCGACGAGTTAATTGAGTAGTTGACAGGGAATCAAAATTAAAAATCTAATAAGTCCGTCAGTTAAATAATGAAAAAATTGGCCCACCTTAGAGTTTAGGGTTTCGATGGCCCCTACCGAAATATGATTGCTAGATTGAACAAAAACTGTTGATGGAGTTTTAAACCTGATACATTTTACCATCTTTTACGATTGTATTGTTTTAAATTTGAATTCAGAATACCATAGCACATGGAGCTACGTCTAACAAATCGGATATGTGCCTTATTAAAGGCAATTGATTTTTGAATAAAAATCATGTTTTATCAAATAATGGTTTAATTTAATAACGCGTGTTGCCTCCATGGGCATCTATCACAGCTCTCATACGATTAGGCATAGAGTTTATCAACCGCTCTATGAAATTTTGAGGGATCATCTCTCATTCCTTTTCTATGGCAGTTTTCAACTCCAACATCGTCTGGGCAACTGGCTGACGAGCCCTAACACGTATTTTTAGCTCGTCCCATATGTGATTTGAGTTATCATGCATAAAAAGAGAATTTGGACCCACATAGTCCGCGTATGGTATGTGAGGTTCTAAGCACTCACGAATGTACCCTTCAGCATTTAATCTTAACAGACGTGGTCCTGTAACAACCTCAAGTTGAGTTTTGCCGCTCGCGGATATACCGCCCCAGACAGTCCATGAGCCACCGCCATAAGCAACCCTCTCTTCAAAGCAGAATTGTGCGAAACGCTCTCCCTTACGTCGGTAGACCTTCTTCCTTCCATTATTGCCATGTAACACAATTTTAGACTCATCAGAAAAGAGTACATACACGGCTCCAATCTTGCTGTGTCCAATTTAAATGACTGCGTGCGAAATGAAGGCGCGCTGTTCGGTGGGCTCGCGTTAGTTTGGGCCTATTAGCTAACTTGTGTGGTACCATATCGCGTTCTTTTAACCTTCTCCAAACAGTTTGAGCGCTCACAGATACTCCGTGGAAGTCGCGAAGTTGATTTTGTATCTCAATGGAGGTAAGGTGACCATTTCTTAAGCTGGTCGTCACGATGAATCGATCCTGCCTTTCAGTTGTGACCCGAGATCGTGGCCTTCCTTGGCGACGAACAAAGCCGCCAGTCTCTAGGTACCTCCGATAAACATTTCGCACCGCAGATTTACTTAAATTTAGTTGAGCACTTACGTTTCTTTGGCTGTGTCCGGCCTGAATAAGTGCCACAGCTTGGGCGGCGACTTCAGGTGAAGTATCCATAGATTATTGATAGAACCTCACCTTAATGTTGAGAATAAGTAATGATTGTTGCAAAACCAAACATATCAATCACTTTTTCAAGAATTAAATCCAAGTAAACCAATAAAACCAAGTTTTCTTGGTATTCGATCGTTTGGTATCAACAAACTGGCTCCAAATTGTCATTTGTTACTTTAAATTTTGTGTTCGAAATTAAAAAAAAAAGACTTGAATGAAATTGTAAATGTGCCAGGTCCAAAACTGCATAAAAACTTTTTGCTCGACGTAATATAAAATTTTAGCTAGGACCAAACGAAACGGAAAATACAAGGTGGGCCAATAGATGTGCCCAGAAGTGTAACTTGCTATACTTACTTACCGTGGTGTTCCAGGTGTCAATGGGCGACACCGATTGCTTACCATCAGGTGATCCGTCTGCTCGTTTACCGGCTTATGCCATAAAAAAAAAACTTAGGTAAAATGGCAGACCAGATGGACATTAAAATAAAATTTAAGAAACTACCCTATTTGGAGAATAGCAGTTAGTTTATTTATGACTTCGAGTTCAACAATCGACTTTGCAGCCACTTAGCCAACCAGAAATAAAACAAATTAATATAATTTGATTAATTTATTATTATGTATCATCTTTGGTTTTTAAATATTATCACTTAATAGCTAATACAATAACGTAAATATAAATAAAAAGTGACATATAGCTGTTTGTTCAGTTACTGATAGCCAGACGGTAACGACACAACGACTTAAATAGGACTAAATTATACATAAGCCACCACCCCTACTCTTCCCGCGGGTTTGGTATACCCGACCAAAGCCAAGGTACTGCTACCTACTCTGTGATATACCAGTACGAGTTTGTTACAAAACGAAACCGCGTTGGACGCCCTGATTGGCCGTCTCCAATGAACCAGTCAATCAGAACGCCAAACGCGGTCTCGTGTCGATTACTTTATACGTAAAATAATATAACATAACATCACGTCTTTTATCTCCGAAACGGTATGCAGAGGTGCACATTTATAGCACTTAATGCCACTGTACAATGTAACACCCACTTTTCACTATTTATGTTATGAGTCCCATGTAATAGGGTGTGAGCCTATTACCATATACCGGGCACAATTCCAGCCTCCATGCTACTACTAAGATATTTTTTTAAACCCAGTAATACTTTGCCCGACCCGGGAATCGAACCCGAGACCCCTTGCTCGGCAGTCGCACTTGCGACCACTCGGCCAACGAGGCAGTAGAGATGTAGAGGTGAAATTACTTCAAAATATCCAGGGTCTGGGAAAGTGCAAGGAGCTACCATGGCTCCGGCTCTATGCAGGAGTAGGAACGGGGTGGTTTTTAGTCGGTAAGAGTCTGACACTCCCTCCCGCCTCACCCAGGCGGGAGCAGTGATTCGATGATTTTCCCCCCTTAAAAAAAACGACTATCAGCAACTTGATTAGGTATTGTAAAACCGGTTCTAAGGCAAGTTAATAAGCTTTGCTAATATTTAATATAACATCACGCCTTTTAATCCTCGAAGGTAGGCAGAGGTCCATCTATACAATGTAACACCCACTTTTCACTATTTATATTATGTTAGTCCCATGTAATAGGGGGTGAGAATAGTCAAATACAATTTAACAATGTACACGGTACAATTTCAGTCAAGGAATTTTTGAAAACTCTGACATGAAACTCGAACATACCTTATAATAATTTGGCCAATTCGAGAATTGAACCTCTTTACATAGTCTTTAAGACAGTCTGCACAACATTTAATACACTAAGTTAAATAAAATATAATAAAAAAAATAAAAATTCTAAAAGCGACATTTGATCAAAATTCACACAATTTGTTCTTTATTACTTAAGTAGTAAGGTTGAGATTTATAAAGCGAGATGTTCGCGATAAAAATAGATACTAGCGACCTAGTAGACAAATGAGATCTGATTTCACAAAATTCGAAGATTTCCAAACAAGGAGGAAAATACTAGAAAATATTTATAATTTTTGGAAGTTGAAAAAGCTTAATAATACTTTTTTCGACTCGGGAATCGAGTCTAGGACGACGTGCTAGATAAATACTAGACTAAGTTTAACAGTCTAATAGTTTTACTCTAATTATTAATATTGATAATACGCCTATTTCAGTTGTAGAGGTTACAGCGCCATCTATCGTTATATACTTTAAAACAAAGCTTCGAGTTAGTTCGAGCGATAAATGAATAGATGGCGAACAAATTAAATATTTATACATACATGTATAGTTACGGCTGTCTTCCATTGCGTTAGACAGAGATAATAAGACGCCAATCGCCATGATTCTGACATACCTCTTTCGTTACATCTATATTCATCAATATCTTCATGCGTGCTCCATCAATTTAATGTTAACTAGCGACCCGCCCCGGCTTCGCACGGGTGCAATATGCATGACATAAACCTTCCTTAAGAATCACTCTATCTATTAAAAAAAACCGCATCAAAATGCGTTGCGTAGTTTTAAAGATCTAAGCATACATACGGACATACAGCGAAAGCGACTTTGTTTTATACTATGTATTGATTGATATCTCCTCTATAACTAAAATATACATAAATGAATAATAGATAATACAGTTAAAGTTAAAAAAAAATAAAAATAATAACACAAACACATACACAACCTAATTTACAGAAAATCACAAAATAAATAAAATTAGTTCATAAATGAAACGATAGATGGGGTTATTCCATCATTCCAATGTTCATAGATTCAAAGCCTAAGATCGAACGGTTAATTTCTTAAAAAAGGACTAAGCAGAAATACTCATACAGTACATACCATTTTTGGAAGTTCACTTTTTAATATCATGTAGTAATTAGGGCATGAGACTACAACCAAACAAAATGTAAGAACATTATAAGCATAACTCGATATGAGCGCCATCTATGGTATGCGAAAATATTATGCTGAAGTTAAAAAAACGCAATAACTTGAAATTTAAGTGGCATGTTTTTTAAAATGCATAACATAACATCACACCTTTTTGTCTCCGAAGGGGTAGGCAGAGGTGCACATTACGGCACTTAATGCCACTGTACAATGTAACACCCACTTTTCACTATTTCATGTTATTGCACACGAATTATGTTAGAATTAGAATCAAAAATAATTATTTGAACATAAATAACTCCATATTGTTCTTTCTTGATCTACTCCACGCGTGTCCATCGATGGCTTTACTATGACCGCGGGCATCCCTTTGATATTGAGTCCAATGGCGGGCTTGCATGAGTCTAGTCCGGCAGCCAATGCTGAGTCCGCCATAGTAGGCAGTAGTAGCCGTTGTGTGTATTTGTCGTGTTCGAATTCTGAAATTTATTTATTTATTTATTCAGATAATACAATCTATATATAATATAATATACAATCTATATGGTTAGTAAAGACATCTACAACTTATAAACTAGTATTAGTACATCAAACCTCATCATATAAAACGAAATAAAACAAAATATAGGTATTGGCCACTTGGTGAATTGGGGACTTGCCTTAATCTATCTATATATCTATCTATATAAATAAAAATGAATTTCTGTTCGTTAGTCTCGCTAAAACTCGAGAACGGCTGAACTGATTTGGCTAATTTTGGTCTTGATAGGTTCGTGGAAGTCTAGGGAAGGTTTAAAAGGTGAGAAAAAACTTTTAGGCGGTACGAAGTTTGCCGGGTCAGCTAGTTACAAATAAATTATTTCGACTGTTCAATACAATGTAATATAAAAAAATAATCCCACTTTCATTAATTGATTTTATGACCAACTTCATTTTAATATTTTCACAGCAAATTTTTAAGAAATAAGTACGCTGTTTGACGCTAAAAAAACGTGACGTCACAATACACAATCTCGTACAAAATTCATAGAAAACTCTCGTTTTTGACAGTTCGAAAAAAGTATTGAATTTGACTAGTTGGCAAGTTGACTGCATTGGCGCGGTGGCTGGGCAACCGGCTGCCGCGCAACGTGTCGCGGGTTCAATTCTCGCACGGAACAACTTTTTGTGTGAACCACAGATTGTAGTTCCGTGTCTGTGTGTGATGTGTATGTGAACTTGTATGTTTGTAAACGGACATACGATACAAGAAGACAATTCTAGTATGGGGTGACGTTTTTAAAAAAGAAAATAATATTACACTGTTAAGACCATTCCCATTATTATATCTAGTACAGGCGTCATCCCCAAAACACTACACACAAGTCTAAAGACCCTCGATTTACATCCCCTCACATTCACACTTCTACAGAAAGCAGTTATACTCAACACATGCAGAATAGTCCGATAATTCTTATCAATAGATTAGATTAGATCATCACAAGTATCACCCCCAAAGTTGCTTTGACCAAAAGTCCGCAACTCTGGTATAGTTCCCCAGAAATGGGTGCGGTTTTAACCTAAAATACAAGTAGAATAATAATAATTACACTTACATGTGGCGCATACCGCTGTAACAGTGGTCGGTATCCGTGGCCGAAGGTAGCTATCATTCCAGGCTCGTCCTCTCTATGCGGGTGCAGGGGGACGATCAACTTCACCTGTAGAAATAAATATTATCATCGCCAGTCCAGAACTAAGGTCTCCTCTACAAAAAAAACGGCTTGCTCTACGAAAATACAGCCTATTACAGTGTTGATGAGTACCTACAAGATAAATCCATCTAGCAAATAATTAACGCATTTATACTTAGGTTATGAATCTATTGTATAGTAATATTATATAGTATTGAATATAAGAATTAATATTGACATAAATGTAAGGTGACTGTGAACTGATATTTGTAGTGTTCATAGACTTCTCTGTTTGACATTATTAATTATATATATTGTTATCATTTAGTCCATTTATATTGTTTTCGTCACTAATGAAATTAAATCTGACATTTTCTTAATTGCATGCCGACAGGCGAAACATAGCGCACTATTATTATATGTGCTTCATCCTTTATTATGTACTTATTACCTATGTTTGCAATAAATAACTTTGACTTTGACTTTGACTTTAAAAAGGCATCAGAGACCCCTATAATAAACAATGTCAACACTATACAACCACAATCGTAGCTGTTACAATAGCATTCAGAGTACGGAATATAAAGACAAACTCAATACTATTTAGTCCATTCAATAGTCCCCTGGTGGTTTCCTCTTGAATCTAATTCCGATCGATCGACATTGGTATTGTAAAATGTATCTTGAAGTGTAGCCGTGTTCTTTTTTGTGGTCGGAAAATCATCGAATGTCTGCTCCCGCCTTGGTGAGGCGAGAGGGAGTGTAGGATTACGTAGTTAGCTGTCGGTGTTGGTTGTTTAGGGAGAAAAATTAATGTTTATGTGAATCACACTGTTTATTATTATTTCCCACAAATGTTCTTAATGTTAACTAATCTAGGATGAAATGTTTAAAATGTTTGAATGCACCCGGTTGTCGCGGTAGACGAAAGTGCACTGAATATATAATAATACATATTCACTTAGAACGGCGAGTTACGCCGATATTGCTGAATACGGTGTTCGATGAACAACTCGAACAGGGAGTGTCAGACTCTTACTGACTAAAAACCACCTCGTTCCTTCTCCTGCTCTCTGAGCCAGAGCCCCGGTAACCCGTGAGGCCTTCCGCGGCTCTGTATCGGGTATCAGATCTACTGGGTCCCCATCCGTGGTGGTCTGATGGCTCTTTGAGGCGCGCGCCGTACGCTCGGGTCTGGTTCTGGTCGGGCGGCGAGCTACCCTTGCTCGCCGTCCGCAGACCCGCGCTTAGAGTGACCGGAGATTATCACGCGATCTCCGAAGCCCGGAGTGTCAACCGCAAGTGTAGGACATTGGATTTTGATACTTACATCCTCCTCATAAGGTCGGAATACGGTGAGAGGTCGCAGCGTGGTGGAGTCTGCGACTATGATGCAACCCCAAGCTGTGCCTATGTACAGCTCGCCGCGGATGGCACATAGCGCTGTCACCTGGGGTAAACAAAAAGGTCGAATTAGTTATAGGTATGTAGAAAATAGATATTAACTCGAGAGCAATAGTACAAGGAGTATCGTTGGTACTGAAACTCATCTGATCTAAATTCATTATTATGTTTTTGGGTTCCTCATGTAACTGTTTGACGAGAAACTCGACTAGTTGCAAGCCATCACGGTATAGGGCGCGATGGGCCCGCACCGCCGCAGAGTCGAGCAGCCAGTAGCTGCGACAGTCGCCGCGCAGAATGCTCCTCATGAATATGAGCCTCTAGCATGGCTTGAAACTAGTCGAGATCCTCGTCAAACAGGTACGCGAGCAAGCCTATAACATAATAAATATAGTCATCTGATCTAGTTCACTTCTAAATTAATATTGTCTACATAAAAACAGAGAGTAGAAGATAGATAATTTGTAAAAGTACGATTCGCTCCCGTGGCGACACACAAATCGATAGATAGTGAAATAAAATCTTACGTCGCACAAGTGAAGTTTGCGTGCGATTAAATATACAAGGTGTAGTTTTGAAGCCATGTCATTTCTCGGAGGCATGTCACAGAAGTCATAAAGGTTCAATGTAAGAGAAAGTTTCGGGCCAATAGTTAAAAATACTATAATAAGTCGTTTAACTTCGACAGTATTTCAGAATAAGCGACAGCAATGTTTCTTATTGGAGTTTTATGGAATTAGGAGTAATATCAATTACGTGTTTGAGTTTGTGTGTGTAAAGCCGCGTTATAAAGCTAGTTACAAGACGGCGGCTTGTAGTTCGCACTTACGGATTTCCGTAATTTACAGAAAAATGACAAATATTTACCTACATTTTTTTTTATTTATCAGAATCGATAGCCGAGTTACCTCCTAGAAAATGACGCGGCTTTAAAACAACACCTTGTATACATGACGAACAACTTTCTTTGTGAAGTCGATTGAAAGAAAAAGGTACGTTCACAGCTGACGGAATATGTGTCGAGTGCAGCAGAAAGCCACGAGTATCATCCATTATATCGTACATACGTTGAGCGTGCACGGATGATACGCTCGACGCATTTTCCGTCAGATGTGAAAGGTCCCTTGCACCCCTTATTCTCTGTCAACTCACCCTGCATTTATCTTCAGTTAGATGTTCATCCAGCGATATGGATTGCAAGGACTCGGAGCACGGCACCAGCTTGCTACAGTCCAGCCTCGCGCACTGCTCCTTCGTACGCACCGACCATTGGTACACGCATACCCCTGTACATGGCGACTGTTTGAGTGTGGATGTTGGCGGATGATTGAAGGATGATTGATGGATGCTTGTGTGTGGCAAATGTTTAGAAGTACGCTGACGTATATCATTATATGTAGAAAATGATGTGGTAGATATAAAAGGTGAGTTGGATGATAGTGACATCCAAATATCGAAACTCACTAGCTTTTTCACAGGCACTATGGTGAGTGAGTAGTGAGTTTGGATGTTCATGACAGATGACTGACGCGTGTTTCCACGAACACCTCCTAAATTTTAAGATAACCCTAAGCTAAGATACGTGATACTTAAACGACAATTTCACTTGACTTGTGATTTTTAAATTATTATTTTTATTGTTATTCATTTACATTATAATTTTTTTTTCATTCAAACTTTGACATTTGATTTTGTATAATTATTGATTGTAGATTGGTATTATCTGCCTAAAGTAATTGATTTAGTACGCTATCAATGGCAGAACATGTAGACTCTGTACTAACCAAAAAAACACCTTCATTGTAATTACTCATGTTTTACTAAATAAATATATCTTTTATCTTTGTCTTTACTTCTATCAACCTAAAGTTACACCTAACAGTGAAAGTAGCTTTAGGTGCTCCCTCACGCTAAGTAAGTCTTAGTTAAGACATGGTTGGAATAAAGCTACACATACGTACCTGGATCACAATAAACCACGACAAATGGTTCGTCGTCGGAGGCTGCCATGAGAGTGACGCGGGGGGAGGCAGGGAGGACGTCCGCCGCGCACACGCCGCCCTCGTTCACTGAGTACGAGTACAGGCCGTCCCCTCCCGCCCATACCTCCCAACTGGGGGAGTCATAGAGAAGGCAGGTCGGAATCATTCTTTTATAAAACCGACTTCAACCAAAGACGGTTTATTGAAGTCGGTTAATTAAGACAGGGTGTCTCTGAAGTCGACGATCAAATGGCACCAGGTGAACGACAAAGTTCCAACAGTTACCAGGAAAATATAGAAAAAAAATCCAAGTCAGTTTTTAAAATACAATGACTTCTGTGTTCCTATCCACGAAAAAATACACCCGGTGCAGTCTTTTGACTCTTGTTGCAACAACACTTTGAGAACAATTCAATGACTTCAGGGATACCTTATACAGTGAAACTTGGTTAAGTGGTTAGGATAAGTGAGAAACCTCCATAACCGGAACTCATGCTGAGGTCCCAACACTTTGGCACTGAATTACCTCTATTAGTGGGACGAGGTAAACCTCTATATCTGGGATTTGTTCTTTCGATTTATCATCGTAGTTACCTCTAGACAGCGAGTAAATTTTATATGCATAAACCTCTGTAACTGAGATAACATTGTTTGTTTACTCATTCTTATTCTACCCACAAATTCCACACGTAATTCCAAGGCCACCTCTATTAATGGAACCCTCTGTAAATGAGACAGATATTTATTTATACCTGTATATCTGAGACACTGGGTAAGTGGAATACCTCTATGACTATAAGTGAAACGACATTGCAGGTCCTTTGATGTCTCACTTAACCAGGTTTCACTGTATACTAAAACACGTGTCTCACGTATTTACTCTGTGGAAGAATATTTATAAACCAAGGTGCATTTTCCAGCTACTTGAGAGCCCATGATATACGCGAGTAGTCAAGAAACGGTCGACTTAGCCGAAACCGGTACGGAGGGATTATTATTATACAAGGTGTCGTTTTAAAGCCGCGTCATTTTCTAGGAGGTAACTCAGCTATCGATTCTGAGTCCGAATCAATAAAAAAAATTGTAGGCAAATATTTTTCATATTTCTGTAAATTACGGAAATCCGTAAGTGCGAACTACACGCCGCCATCTTGTAACTAGTTTTATAACGCGGCTTAACACATACAAACTCAAACACGTAATTGATATTATTCCCAATTCCATAAAACTCCAATAAGAAACATTGCTGTCGCTTATTCTGAAATACTGTCGAACTTAAACGATTTATTATAGCCATATTTTTAACTATTGGTCAGAAACTTTCTCTTACATTGATCCTTCATGACTTCTGTGACATGCCCCCGAGAAATGACACGGTTTCAAAACTACACCTTGTATACTTAAACCTTTCCCTAAGTGTTCTTAATCTTTGAAAAATACAAATGACACAAATGGACTTGAATATTGAACTCACCCATGCGGCGACGGCACAGCAGTTAGACAGCAGAGTTCAGTAGCAGTTCCCAATTCCGTCAGTACGAAGCTGCCTTCAGCTTCCGGACGCCGAGATGATACTAAGAAGAGCCTGAAAAGAAGTTCAGAATATGAAACAGATATAAAATTTCACACACAATAGGGTAGTATCCTAAATTTTATTTTATTTGTCCGTCTGGTAGATTATTTTAAAACTTTAGACACGTATTTTTTCTTTTCTCACAAAATTAAATACTTTCGACGATATATTCATTTGAAATGTCGTGTGACGTCATAGCGTGCTACATTATACAGCACCTTGTGACGTTACGACGTCCCACTCCTAAACTTAACGCCATTTTATGTAAGTTTTTTTTTTTTTTTTTTTTTTTAATCTATTTATTTTTAAAATTTTAGGGGGTTTTTGTCCATATGGATACGTCAACCCCATCGTACCTTATCTAATTAAATATCCTCTGTAAATGAAAGGGAATCATTAACAAGGTATGAGATAAAATTTTATGTAAGTATTGTAACTTAATACGAGAAATTAAAAAATACGTGTCTAATATTTTTTCATTATCTAACTGACGGACTAATCGGGTACTTGCTAACTAGTCAAATTCAATACTTTTTTCGAACTGTCACAAACGACAGTTTTCTATGAATTTTGTACGAGATTGTGTATTGTGACGTCACGATTTTTAAGCGTCAACATACTTGTTTCTTAAAAATTTGCAGGAAAAATACTAAAATTAAGTTGGTCATAAAATCGATGAATGAGAGTGTGATTATTGTTTAATATTTTATTGTATTGAACGGTCGAAATAATTTAGTTTTGATTAAACTGTCAAACACCGCGAGGACATTGGTGACCGCAACCTATTGTTCTTTAATTGTGTCTATAATGACGGTACTCGACGAGTTAAGGCAAGTACCCAATTGTTCAAACGCACTTCATTTTGCGTAGCTCCCAATTATCCAGCCACTGCGTAGTGCAGGTATACGTCAAACGAGCAGACGGAACACCTGATGGTAAGCAATCGACGCGCGCAACACAAAGAGGAGTTACAAATGCATTGTTGACGTTTCACTATTGGAGATTAGAGACTTCATCATCATCACCAGCCTATAAGTGTCCACTACTGACCAATGGCCTCTTCTCACACGGAGAAGGTTTGAGCATTAATCACCACGCTTGCTCAATACGGGTTGGCGATTTCAAACTTATAATTAGAAATTATAAGTCCAGGTTTCCTCACGATGTTTTCCTTCACCGTTTGTCAGTGGCGTCTAGATAATCTTAGAAAGTACATATAACTCGGAAAACGTCACATTGGTACTTGCCGTTGGTAGGTTTCAAGCGCACTCATGCATGAGAAGCGGGCGTCTTAATCCTTCGGACTGCCACGATATCGACATCGTTTGTTAGTGATGTCTAAATGATTTTAATCAGGGATCTGAGACTGCAATAATGTAAATATTAATCTTGTTACCTGCCACAAGCGAGTGCGAGCGCGACCCTGCGTAGCTGGTGTAGCGGGTGCAGTGCCGCCACTGGGGACGGAGACCCTCCCACCGACTCCTGGACACGGACTGACCATTCTTGGGCACAGCTTGATGCACTGGGTAGAGCAAAACACATAATTATTTACAATCGTTTCTAACTAGTCAAATGCTATACTTTTTTTAAAACGATTTATACGACACTAGCTTTTACCTGCGGCTTCGCTCGCGTCACAAAAGGATAAAAAGTAGCCTATGTGACATATACATACAGCGCCATCTATACCGATGATTTCGTTTTCCCTCGGGAATATCAAATTTTTCCGGGATAAAAAGTACCCTATTATTTAATCCAGACTTCTAACTTTACGTCTGCAAAAATTCAAAGCAATCGGTTTAGTAGTTACGGCGTGAAAGCGGAACAAACAAACAAACAAACTCACTTTCCGATTTATAATATTATAGTAAGGATTTGTTGACGTTTCAAAAGTACCAAATTATGATTTAATTGAAATAAATGCTTTGACTTTGACATTGACATTGAACTCTATTTTATACTCACGAATATACGATGATCCTGCCAGCGGAGTCGCCCAACCAGATCTTGTTACCGACCCGACATATAGCGCTCACCATTACCGGCTCGGCTTTGTCTAAACAAATATTATCATTTAATTAGGTACCTACTTGTTTTAATCAAAAATAAATTATTTCGACTGTTCAATACAATAAAATATTAGAAAACTAATCACACTTTCATTTTTTGATTTTATGACTAATTTATTTTAGTATAACATAACATAACATCACGCCTTTTGTCCTCGAAGGGGTAGGCAGATGTGCACATTATACCACTGTACAATATAATACTCATTTTTCAACATTTATGTTATGAGTCCCATGTAATAGGGGGTGAGCCTATTGCCATATACTGGACACAGTTCCAGACTCCGTGCTACTACTGAGAATTTTTAAAAAACTCTGTAATACTTTGCCCGACCCGGGAATCGAACCCGAGACTTTTTTTTTGAAGGGGGGAAAATCATCGCATGACTGCTCCCGCCTGGGTGAGGCGGGAGTGTCAGACTCTTACTGACTAAGAACCACCCCATTCCTACTCCTGCACGTCGAGCCGGAGCCGCGGTTACCCGTTAGGTTCTCCGCGACGAACCCGAGACTCCTTGCGCGGCAGTCGCAATTGCGACCACTCGGCCAACGAGGCAGTCAATTTTAGTATTTTGTCAACAAAATTTTGCAGATTTATATCGAGTGATAGCGAAAGGTTAGGTTACCTGGCGGTACCCGGACCGTGTGGTGGTGCGTGAAGTTGGTGGCAGTGGTGAGCAGCGTGTGAGCTCGCTCCGGCTCGCCACCGCCGTACCATATCTCCCAGCCCGGGACTCCTTCCTCTGACGGAAGAAATGGATTTTGTACAGTCACATCAGTCAGTGTTCAGGAAAGTTTTTATAATACCTATCGTGAGATATACTAAATTAACTAAAAATCGTGGGATACTCGCGAATATACTGAGAAAAGGTCTACTAGTTTTGGACCACAGAGGGGTTTTTCCTCAGCGTGCGCGGTCGCGGCGATGTCGCGCAGTCTACTCACTTCTAGACCTTTCCTCAGTATTTTTACTTGAGTAACCCGAAAATTTAGCAAGTTTTAACTTGATAAGTAGAGAAACATAACAAAATTCAGAGTCAGAATCAAAGTTAAAGTGAAAGTTTGACTTTACAAAATCAAGACTTCGAGTCAAAGTAGACAGTTCAGTTTAAAATCAAAGTCAGTGTTTAAATTACAGAGGTCAAATTTAATCGGAGTCAAAGTTAAAATCACAAGTCAAAGTCAAAGTGAAAGTCAAGAGTTGGCGTTAAAAGTCGAAATGAAAATTTAAAGATAAAGTGAAAAAGTGTTTTTACTTGTTTTTATTTCTGTATTTTAGTAGAATTATTATCTTACAATTTTTATTTTAGTTCTAGTTTTATTTTAGTATTAGCTTTTACCCGCTGCTTTCCTCGCGTATTCCTGTTTTATTCCATAGAGAGTCGGGATAAAATCCTATCACTTATGTCAGCCCATACCCTGGCTGTACCTATACCAAATTTCATCAAAATATAACATTTTTATAGACATCGCATCGCTAGTTACCGCTAACATTCCTGACGGGCGTGGCGGCGGCGGCGGCGGCGCGCCTGGCGGCCGCGGCGTCGGCCAGCGCGCAGTACTCGGGCGCGGCCGCCACGCTCACCAGCGCCGCCGCCGACGGCCGCAGCGCCGGCGCGCCCGCCCAGCAACGACGCATGCACTCCAGCATGCAGCACGGGTACTCCAGGTCCTTGGGGGAACCGAACTAGTTTTTACATCTCATACAGAAGAGTTTTCTTCCTTATCAGCTGGTATTGTAGTATATGTCATAATTCACTGTTGCATTGCTACATTTACAGTAATTACCGTAGCATATTGAAGTACGAATTGGGATCATTAGCTAATGTCGGATGAAGAGATTATATTAACTTTATCTTTAAATTAATTTTGATTTAATTTAATTTTAATTTGATTTATTTAATTTTAATTTTATTTTTATATAATTTCATTTCATTTTATGGTTATAATAACATGTCCGTATAAATTTCCTAAATAGAACAATTGTATCTTTACTTATTAATATATTTTACCTATCTGATTAACAATAATATGGGTTATGATCACCTGAAATAAATGTATTTTATTTTATTTTATTTTTATTTTATTAATAATATAAAAGACAGTGTAATGTGTTTTCTGGGATTATTGCTATGGAGACTACACAAATATTGAGTTTCTCTTCTCTCCGAGAGCTCCTTTATCGATATTACAGCCGATCAGTACTCCATAGTGACACAACCGAAGCGGTGTGAGTAGGCGTGAGGGTAGTAGAGACGCAATTACCCCTCCCCCCCTTCCGCAATCTCCCCAATCCCTGAATCTCCAATAATCCTCAAATTACTAACCCCAAAAGGCCGGTAACAAGCCCGCCGCAACCCCCCAATACCTGCCAACTCCTGTAAGTCAGGATCTACAGTAGATACAACCATGAAAACACCGGAACACTGAAGTCCGGCGCGTCCCAGGGACATGAGACGCCTCTGGTGTTCCAGGTGTCCATGGGCGACGCCGATTCCTTACCATCAGGTGATCTATCTATTAATTTACCGGCTGATACCATAAAAAAATCTACGATTTAAAGACGAATGTATTCACTATTTTTATATCTTACCCGAGGAGACAACGACGGTCTGGCTCCCTCCAAGATGGCTTCCTTCACCGCCTCGTGGCCTTCAAATGGCTGTCGGACGGTCACGATCTCATACAACAGCATACCGTATGAAAAACAATCGACCTGAAGACAAAAATCACTACTTGTAGGGACACATATCAATATATACTACACATATGTACGCATTAGCCTAGCTAGCACCTAGCACCTAGCTTCACCTAGCTTCACTGACGGACTGACTGACAGACTATTATTTATTTTGTATTTTTTGACGTTTCAAAAGTACCAAACTATGGTTTAATTGAAATAAATGCTTTGACTTTGACTTTGACATTCACAGAATGCTGAGTTCGCACTTCAGTGGCGCCTGCGCCCGCCTCTTAAGTTTATATATACCCAGGCGTGAATATACGGAGTTGACATCAAGACGTGTATCATCTATATCCTCAATAGCTAGTACGCACCTACTGACTTGCAGTTTTGCCGTGTTGCAGAGAAGAAAACATTTTTCACCACCGCTACTCTTCCCGCGGTCAAAGTCAAAGTCAAAGCATTTATTTCAATTAAACCATAGTTTGGTACTTCTGAAACGTCAACAAATACAAAATAAATAATAGTCTGTTAGTCAGTCCGTCAGTGAAGCTAGGTGAAGCTTGGTGCTCAGTCCAAAATGTAGATTCGAATGGAGAAGAACGAGCAAGAAACTCCATTCGATACTCTTTTAAAAAAGTATGTTCTACAATGTCTCTGATACATATTCCAATACTGTATGTATATGTGAGAACAATGCAAAGACACGCTTGACTCATTATACAAATTACAAACCTTACTAAAATAAAAAAATCTTATAGTCTAACATGGTGCTCACATATGCATACTATTTTTTTTATTTTTTTTTTTATATTTGGGAAAAAAAACAATATTACATTATATATGTCGGCGCCGCCGTCATTATTTTGTAAACTGCGAATGTAATGGGCGAGCAGTGAACAAACAACTGACCGACGTCACTTCAACCCCACCACCGAGTGATATATAAAGCAGCGCAAGCGCAAGCTCGAGTCAGTCGTTCGTCGATCGTTGCCCAGTTCACACGTTACGCAATCGCTGAGTAATTTTATTGTTGGTTTTATTTGAGTGTTTCCTTTATATAATCAGTGCTGAATTATTCAATTATTATAATTAAAAATTAATGTGAAAGTAAGTTCATTTAATCGAAATAAACTAAGTGATTGTGTGAAGCTCTTTGTTTTATTTTCAAATAATGTCGGACCCTGATCCTACATCAGAAGTGGGATGGACCGGGATTATTGAAAATGTTAAAATTATCGGAGCCGGTTCGTGAAGAACTACCTACATGCAAATGCGACGAAGAAGATAGTGCTGCAAGATTGGAAGTGCTTAGCTATACATAGCTAGCTACTCTGTAGTGAAGATACAACGTGGCTAACGTTGAGGCAGCTACTTCGAACTGAATCGCTATCTGAAGCAGCAAATGAAGACATGACGTGGTCCCAATTCAAGCCGGAGTACATTGGCGTCCAGTGACAGCGTAAGATACGCGGCGTTAACGCAGCGTTTGGTGAGCGGCGTCTTGATGTCTGCAATTGGACACTGCTCCCATCGGGATTATACCAGGTGACTTTGTTCCATTTATTATGATTCCGATACCATATGGGTCAAAAACGAGTCAAAGACTTGAGTTTACAATTGTTAGTTTTCCAATTTGAAATTTTATTTTATTTTTGTCGGGTAGTTATTTAAAGAAAATAGCCGTGATGTTTTAGATCCGAGATTATACATGGTCATTAGAATTACGTCTGATAGTGTTACTTTGTGTTGTGTATTGTTAGGTAATATCTCAAGTAGTAGGCTTTCATTTGGTTGGAACTTGGAGGTATGGTTTCCGCGAGGTAGATGCAGAATTAAGTGGTGCTTGCTGTCTAACGCGGTACAGAGTATTGAGAAAAATAGTTTATAACAAATAAAGGTCAAAAGCTGCTAATAATAATTGGTAGTTAAAGTCAGAATTGAAGAGACCTCTAAAGTCCTACATTCATTTAGGATTATTGTTGGGTTGGAAAATAGTTAAAGCGCTAAGAATACTCTGATGAGAAACATGCTTCCCTTGATCTTGCCATTAGGATTTGTTATAATTAGGGCCTTTCAGTACCTAGTGAGTTAGTAATTGTAAGGGTAAAACTTTTCATTTATTCTACTATATCGTGTGTGCTAGTCATAGTCGTTACTGGGGCAGGGACTCGAGTCCATATAATGAAACTACAGTCGTGGCTGACTTGTGACTCTG